AAAAAAACCTGATAAACTGGGATCAGAAAAACAAATGCTGAGGTAGATAACAAAACCTCGCTTCCTTAGCACTTTATTCAGGCGCTTCTTCTTCCATGTAGTACTGCTGCAATCGAACATGCCATGCAATCGATGAACAGGCAGATATGGTTCGAAACTGGTGGACAATCTTTCGTGGCAGGAAGTAAATATCGTTGTGGTGCAACTGAATTAGATAGGTTATATTCGGTATGAAAACTTTTTTTATCAAGTTCTCGGGAGAAACTAGTTGTCAAAACAGCCAGTCAAACTGACTACGATAGGTGATTAGAATGAACTGCCTATGAATAATGTATGATTAGTCTCATAAACTGCACCTAAAAAGCTTTAGCTTGCACTTGACTACTGGTAATTATCATTGGTACAGTCCGGTAGATAAACCGCTTAATAATGTGCCTGCGGTGCCTAAATTCGGCGATAAAATTTGCGCGTGAACAAACAGCCACGCCAGTATGACGGCACTTTGCGCATAAGTGGCTGACAATGCTGATGTGGATAATTATAATTGTTCACGCGCATATCTTACTGCACCTCAGTACCGCAAGCAAGTTGTTATGCAAAAAATCTACTAGACTCTAACACCAAATCTGCAAATCTATAGAGTATGATATCAGCGCAGACAAAAGTGACGTAAAACACTCCGAATCATAGCAACGTACAAAACCAACATGAAAATGGACAATGTGCGACAAATGAGTAAGATTAGCATAACTCACATGGAATTTAGAGTACCTAACACCTTCGCGGCGAAGCTGATTCAACTTTGCCTCTTCAACCCATTGTACACACTGAAATGAAATGATACGAGCAAAGAAAAAACGACTTTTGCGATTTTGCATATGGTATGGCAAAAATAGGAGATCGACAAAAAATAGAAAAAGAAAAGCGGACCAAATTCACAAGATCTCAAAGCCGAAAAACTTCGACATACCTGTGACATGGGCGGTTCGTAGAGATCAAGTTGCAAAGTCTCTACGATACGTTCAAAATCTGCAGCATGGAAGCAAACAACATCTTTCACAGCTTTACGTGATGGTCTGCAAACATATTTTTCAAGAAACGGTGAGTGATGACCACGCTCTTACTTCTCATTAGTGTTACGAATCGATTGCAGAATCCCCACAGCAGCAGTCGTCTTTCTTTCTAAACCGTCACCCACATGGTCAGCATGACATGGCGTCCGGTCTTCAAACAGAAGCTCTCGTCGCTCATAATGCCTGAAATCTCGATTATGTTCGATGAAAATTGAGGATGGCGCTCGGCTACGCAATAAAATGAAAAAAAAA